GATTGCAGGTAAGGTATCAACAGTTGTAGCAACAATGACAGGCTATGCATCATGATAGGATTAACGGAAAGTAGTAACATGCTACACTACTCTAATGCAAGCAGTATAGAGAGTAGAGTAGGCGATATCTGGTGATCAAGGGGGGGGCTTGCCTGGTTGCTCTGGCAAGAGAGAGGGGTCGTCAACACCGTAGTCGTACTGGGTAGCAGTGGCGTCAGTCTCGGTGTCTAGCGAGAGAAGAGGGGGAAGAAACAATAAATATTAAGCAAACAGATGCATAGTGATGCATGACATGACAAGTATCGGTGTTAGGGGTGCCCTAACGCGGTACGAGGCAGTACCGGTGAAGGGGGAAAACATCCGGGGAAGAATTCCCGGTGTTTCGCGTTTTCGGACAGATGAACCAGAGGGGGAAAGTTGTGTGTTTGCTATGCTAGGGTTGCGTGGCGGACGAACGGGCTACGTATCCGGGTTCGTCTCGTTGTTCTGAGCAACTTTCATGTAGAAAGTATTTTCATCCGAGGTACGGTTTATTTTATATTAATTTTCAAAGTTTTATGCATTTTTGAATTTAATTTAATTAATTTGAAAAAAGAATTATTACGTCATCGTGACATCAACGTGACGTCAGTGGTCAAAGTTGATCGTTGACCAGTCAACTGACGGGTGGGTCCCATTCGTCATAGTCTGTTTACCCTAACTAACAGGTTAGTTGGTTTTAGTTAGATAGTTAGGTTAATTAAGTTTAATTAAACTAGTTTAAGTAAGTTAATTAATTAATTATTATATTTTTATATTACTCATTTTTATTTTTATTCTTATTTTCGTTCTGGAAAAAGAGGGACACGGGTCCCAGGTGGCAGTGGCCTAAGGGGTTAAACGGGGCTCGGCTAACGGGCGCAGATGCCCGATATTGGGCGAAGGCCGTAGCCCGGTCCGGCGAGGCACGCAGGACCACGGCGAGCGGCGTCGGCAGTGGTCAGGGAGGCGTCGAGCAGCAGGTGGCGGCGGCGCTAGGTTGGGGACCCGGTACAGGCGACCCCAGGGCGCGTGGATGGGCTCTCTAGAACATCTGCATCGCGACGCGTCCAGCGGTAGCGGTGGCGTGGCCGGAGATGTCCGGCAGCGATGGCGGCGAGGTCCGTGGCATAGGAGGCTGCAGTAGGGCGGGCCAGGCCGACGCAGGCGTGCGAGGGTGCAGCCGGACGCGGCGGCCGGGCTGCAGCGGCGCAGGGCATCGCGTGGAGGCATGGCTAGTAGGGAGGCGCGGAGGAGAGGGCAGTAGTGAGCAGAGGCGGACGGCGGGGCACGCGGAGCGGTCTTCGCGGGGGCGAGGCAGCGGAGAGGGGAAGAGGAGGCCGAGGGCCTCACTGCGAGCCGTAGGGGATTGGCCGCAGTTGTCGGGGAGGAAGACGGGGACGACGTGCGATGAGGCGACGCCAGTGCGGTTGAGGCCGGGGAAGCGATCCGGCGAAGTCCGGCGGCATTGTGGCGTCTCGGGTCGGGGGCGACGGGATCGGGCGACGGTTGCCCAGACCGGATCCGCGCGGGGCGG